AAAACGTACAAAACCAAAAAAAAACAACAACAACAAAACAACAACAAAAAAAACAACCCCCCCCCCCCCCAACAAAAAAAACCGTCACCTCAAACACTTTCCCCCAATAGAATAGATATAAGTGATATCAGGGAACTGGTCCTGTACGTGAGTAAAAAAACATTGGTTGAGAACAACAACAAAAACCCAAACAAACACATAGATCTAATGACACGTTCACACCAAACACAAAGTTTATATGCGTCACCTCTAACACTCTTCCCAAGAGAGTAGACATAGGTGAAGTTCGAGTACCTGTCCTGTAGTTCTTACAGCGTCCCCCCCCCACCCAGGCGCCTCTGGTGTCTAAAAAGCATGGGTTGAGAACCAAAACAACAACAAAAACAACAACAACAACAACATATTTCTTCGTGGAGTCCGCCAGGCCCATTAAGGAAACAAAAACAACAACAACAATAAAAACACAAACACAATACGTTCACACCAAAAATAATTTGTATGCGTCACCTGTAACAATCTTCTCTACTCTATGGAGTAGACATAGGTGAGATTTGACCCGCCCCCTTCAGGTCCACATGGGGAAGAAGCATTGGTTGAGAACCAAAACCACAACAACAACAAAAACAACAACAACAACAACAAACACACAATACGTTCACACCAAACAAAATTATGCGTCACCTCTAACACTCTTCCCTATGGAGTAGACATAGGTGAGGTTCGGGTACCGGTCCTGAAGGTCGTACAGCGTCGCCTCCAGGCGCCTCTGGTTGTGGTACTTGAAGTCGACGGCGCCGGCCACACAGCACAGCGCAGACAGCAACAGCGGCAGCAGCAGTAGCAGGGCGCTCACCACGGACGTAAACGGCGACGCCTGGGGCTGCGAGCATCTGGCCACTGGCATGCTGAGCTGAGGACAGCGACGGTTACCGTGAGGATACTTAAAAAAAAAAATTTCGTTTGTTCGTTTGTTTATTTTTGTTTTAGTAAGAGGGTTTTTTTGTGTTACGGCGCTCGCAACTGCAAAAGGTCACATGAGCGCGCGGGACACACCAAACATTTTCAACAGGTAGGAAATTTTGAATTTTGCTCTGGTGGCAGCCGAAGTCTACTCTTATCGATTTTGGACCACCAAGGGATCGTTTACGTGCGCAACTTGCACACGGGACCTCCGAGATTTTTCGCCCTTGTCCGAGAAGGCTATAGGTGTAGATCTTTCATACCAAAAGATCAGGGGTGTGGCTGAAAGACAGCAATAAGAAGGAGCCAAGGAGTAGCAGTAGAAAGGCTGCAGAAAGAGATAGGAGCCCAGTGGAGGGGGCAAAGGAGGTGAGGGGGTGGGGGTGGTGGAAGAAAGTAGAAACGAAAGCAGATGACAGAATATTGCAAGAGAGAAGGAAAGAAGGCGAAAGGAGACAATTTTAGAGAACCTTTGAATGAGAGGCGAACATCTTAATCTCTTGGCCATGAGAGCCCCCTAGTACGAGTTTACGGCACTTGCAACACAAAAAGGTCATATAAAAGCCGAAAAAATAGATCCGATGTGTTACAAGAGAGTATCACACACAAAGAAGGAGGAGAGATGAGGACGATAGATGTTTGTTAGGAAAGAAGGAGCAAATCACACCAGAGCACTCCCCAACCACCCACGTTTATTTGTTTGTCTGAGTAAAGAGAATCACATAAACAAAACAAAGGTAATTTAGTGCAGTGAAAAAAAATCAAGACAGACAGACTGAAACATCAGATAAAAAAAAAGAAAGGAAGTAGGACCTACCACTGGTGTCCTCCAGCCACCCACTTTTTAAAAGATAGAAGTTTGTAAAACTTCAATTTTTCTTTAAATGTAGGTGGGTTTTTTTTAACGACGCCCCCACCCCCCAACACAATTTAGATTATTTAGTAGATGGAGTTCCGATCCTGCCTGTCAGGGCCAACCCGGGCTGATAGGGATACAACATCCCAGAAGAAAGACCGAGATATTCGATTTAAAAATGGTATCCCAACTCGGGAATCGAACTCGGTCTTTTGTGTGCGCAGCACCTAACCGCTACACCAAAGACGCCGGTCTCTAAATAGTTTCCCTATTTATAATATTGTGTAGAAGTTTAAGGTATTTCTCCGGGAGCAAGGCTGGTAAAAACACTAACAACGCTGATGAGACGGAAATCGAAAGAGCACACATTATCATTCATTGGTTACCATACCATAACCCCCAAACAAACAAACCAACAACAACAACAACAAAAACAACAACAACCCCCCATCAATAAAATGAAATACACTTAAAATAAATTAATAGGCTTAAATAAATTTTTAAAACAGAAAAAAAAAAAATTGACCCCCCCCCACCCCTAAACAATCGGATCTTAATCTTTTAATTCGAACAGGATCCAGAGCAGAGAGGCGAATTCTGGAGTATTTAAATAAACACTGGATGAAAGAATGAAAGATATATTCAAAGTGGTCGTTAATGTTGCTTCTGGTTTACCACGAGCCGGCAAAACAACAGCCATACCTCGCCAAGAACGAAACAAGAATGCAATATAGTTTTATTGATAATGAAAAGAAACAGGATAAAAAGCCAACAACACTTACAGTCCGCCAACTACTGATCTCATAGGTGGACAATTTGGTCTCTCAAAGACGTCATGGAGTCACAAGTACCACCTCCTCCTCCCTCCACCCCTCCAACACACACACACACACACACACACACGACCATGTGCGTTCACACACTCACTTCGACCCCTACCTTCACGAAAATTAGCCGTATGTACCTCCCTCGCTGTCT